CATATATGCAGGTGTCTGCAGAGGCCAGAAGAGGGTGTTGGATCCTCTGTAGCTGGAGTTACAGGTGTTCGTGAGTCGTTCAACATGGGTGCTGGAATCTAAACTCAGGACCTCTGCAAGTGCTCTTAACCACCAAGCCATCTCTCCAGCCCATGCCCAGCTTTTCATGTGGGTTCTGGAGACAGACTCAGATCTCATGCTTGCCTGGCAAGCACTTTACCAACTGAGTCATCTCCTTAGCTCCACTTGTCCCCTCAGATCCTCACTTGAGCAAAAGAACATCTGGGACTTCAAGTGACACTTAGAGCAATAGGTGGAGAGGTAGGACGCATACTCTCGGTGATGCTCAGCCTTTTGAGTGCGACAGGACAGGTGTGGAGGGGAATGTGCTGAAATGGGATTGGGGGCACCTAGGTGGCCTGGCTGTAGTTGGCTGACAGTGGAAAGAATCACGGCCAGATCCCCAACCTGGGACTTCAGCCTCTCTTGGGAAGGAAAGATGTAGCTGAGCTAACACATCCTGGTGATTTGGTGGGTCCCAGCTGCCCTCAAGAATGTCCTCACAAGAAGGGGGCAGAGGATGACTGACAGACTTGTGGTGATGATGGAGAGGTTGGAGTGAGGCTAACAGAAGCCATGGGCTATCCAGAGCCGTTTGGAGTCAGACAGGTAGGAAGACTCTGCAGCTGGAGCCCTAGAGGGAGTGTAGTCCTGTCCATACCTTGATCTTAGACTTGTAGCTTCCTGACCTGGGAGAGATTGTGTTTGCTTTTTAAGCGCCTCAGGCTGTGATATTTTGTTATGGCAGCTCCAGGATTCTTAGACACTGCCTTTCTGAGGCCTCTGGCCAGGGAAACACAGAGCACAGGGTAGCTGAGATGGTGTCAGCTGGGAAGGACTGGACTGGTGAGAAGCTCCAGGGTTTGGGTCTGGGTACAGGTGTGACAGGCGTCCTTGTAAGAAAGGTGCAAAGAGGGACACCGACGAAAAGGGAGGCCACGTGGTGCGGAGACAGGCAGGGGACGTTGAGACCAGGAGTTTCCATACAGAGTTGGCCCTCCCTCACCTGCTGCCTGTTCTGACCTCTGACCACCAGGAGCATGGGAGAAGACACCCAGTGACCCGTACTGTCTCCGTCCCATGCTGCTTTGACTCAGCAGCTACAAGACTTGCAATCTCCACACAGTGTACACTATCCCACCTCCCTACTTGGCTCTGAAGACCTGAAACTCACAGCTGTAAGAGACCAGCTGGATTCCCAGCTTAGCAGAAGGTGGTGATGGATGTCCACCCTGCCAGCCACCCATCCCTGCACTTTCTGCCCAGTAGAAACTGCTGATTTGGCCTGATTGGCTCCCAACACCGTTCTCTCAGGTACCTGGCACCATGAGCGGACCATGCATGCATCAGCAGCCTCCGGGGCTCAAAAATGCTGGCGTTGCAGCGGGAGTTCACCATGACATCTATTCGGCATTCCTGTCCCACCTCTGGGTTAGGAAAATCTAAGGCACACGCCAAGGAAAATTAACTAGAATGTTGGGCAGCGAGCGTTAATGAGACCCTGGGCTTGGGCATCTCTGGCTGCTTTCCCCTAGGGAGGTACTCTGATTTACTAAGGCATTCAGCCAAAGCCCCCTTCTTGTGTAGGACCTCCCCCTCCCACAGATACTCTCTTTGAAGCCCATGGGCCTGGACCAGTTTGGAACCCTGGGCTCCAGTTTCTTGCTGAAGAATAAAAGCAACCCCCAGACGGTGCATGCTGGCATGGATTTGGTCCTTTTTATTTTTGTCAACAAGGGCTTTGGTTTTAATGAGAACCAGCAGACCCAGGCTGCACTCTTTCCACCCCTAGAGGTCTCAACAGCAGTGGCCTGGCTTCCCGTCCCAGGTGGGAAGCAGCAGAGACTGTGGACCCTGGAAACAGAACGAAGGAGCAGAGGAGACGGGGAAGCTTGAAGAGGAGAGACCTCAGCATTGGCTCTCCAACCCTTCCCATGGTTGGCCCTCTGACTTCTTAGCTGGGGTTCCTGTCTCCTTGTGGCTCTCTCTCCCTACCGGCCTGAGGTCCAGGCACTGCCTCTTTCTCCCACCTTGTGGGAGGGAGGAAGAAGAACAGAGTACTTTCTGAGAGTCCACTGTAATTCTTGGGCAAGAGGTTGCCTCACTGTGACTTAGTTTCCTAGTTTGTGACATGGAAAACCAACAGGATCGCCATAAGGATGCAGTGGGTTTGCAGGTCTCTAGTGGCTAGGGTAAAGACCTAAGCCTCCAGGAATCTTGACTCCTGGAACAATCCAGTGGATAGAAGCCCCACCCTACTGTCCGAGGATCCCTGGACTAACCCTCTCCTTTGCCCCTACAGATCCTAATCTGGTTCTGACTGACTGTCGCCCAAGTTGTGGGGAGCCAAGGGCAGGCTGGAGTAGTCAGCCTGCTATTGATGGCTGAAGGTCACCTCTTTTATCAGCTCTGTGATCAGTGGCATCATTTGATGGCTTAAAATCAGGCATGGCAGGAGTGTATGCACCTGGCTGTGGGTAGATGGGACAGCTGGGGCCTTTGTCCTGAGTCACTAAACCTTCTCCATCACCTCCCTGGTGGCCGACCTTGCTCTGTCTTCCTGGAGCCTGGGGAGGAGCACCATCTTCTCCACCACCTGGCAGAGAGGGTTTTCTCCATTTCTTCTTCAAAGCTTGGATTTCCTGAGGGGTGCCCATCTGTTCTCCTCAGAAACTGTCTTTCCTCACCAGCTGCCTTCAGATATCTGGAGGGTTGTCACATGGAAGAGAAATTGCTCCACGTGGACCAGGAGAAGAAAAAACATAGGGTGGGGTGGCAATGCGGGAGATGGTTTTCTTTTACTACACGTGTCAGGCCCTTCAGGACCCTTCCTAGGTCTGTTCATCTGAGGTGCACCCCCCCCAAAGAAACCTCTCTGCACCTTGAGAGTGAGTCATTTACTGTGAATAAAGTCTCTTGTTGGGAATCAAGAGTCTGGTAAATGATCGTCCTTGGACAGGACCCCTTTATTAAACACCCATCCAAGGCTCAGGGACCATCACGGAAGAAGGGGCAGGAAGATTGTAAGAGCCAGGGAGGAGGTGCATGAACATATGGAAACAGGGTCCTACAAGCTCCTGAGAGCCTGCTCATATGATTCTATGGCAGTGGTGTCAGCACACACAAGTCCCATGCAAACTGAGGCAGACAATAACCCAGCATAGAACTGGGAAAATGAACAGCAAACCTCAGTCTTATCTGGGAATGTTGGAAGGCTCAGGGACCATCATGGAAAGGGGGGGGAAGAGTGCAAGAGCCAGGGAGGAGGTGCATGACCATTTAGAAACAGTTCTACAAGTTCCTGGGAACCTGCTCATATGATTCTATGGCAATGGTATTCTATGGCAATGATATATACAAGTCCCATGCAAACTGAGGCAGACAATAACCCAGCATAGAACTGGGAAAATGAACAGCAAACCTCAGTCTTATCTGAAGGAATGTTGGCAGCTGATTGCTGCTAGGTGAGGAAGAGCTGATCCTCCTAAAACAAGGGACTCTAGATAGGCTGACTGGATTCAGTGGACAGATTTGCACTGGGGAACGGCTGGGGACACTGGCAACCCAGTGGGCCTTAACAGCAATGACAGAGTATATGGGCTCCAGTTGGGGGTGGGAGGTGCTATGGGAAAGTGCCAGTGGGGACGGGAGTATAAAGATGATTAAGATTGTTTGAGATGTTCTGTATGAAATACACAAAAAATTCAATTAAAAAAACTTTTTTAAAGCCCCTTGTTGGCCAGACCAGGCCTCCCTCTCCTGTCCATGCCACCCAGCTGTCCCTTTGGAAGACAGAACGAGGAGTTTTACCACAGGCCCGGCAAGACTCCAGAGCATGGTGACCAATGGCTGTGTTTAAATCACATCAAGGACCTTAAAGCTGGTGCTTGCAGGTGAGCAGTGTGAAGCCAGCAGCCTCAGGCTACCTCTCAGCCAGGCCCAGGAGGCCACCACAGCCTCAAGCTGAGACTCAAGGTAAACACCCTCCCCTGACCCTAACAGGGGCTGGGCTGAGCTCACAAAGGGCCCCACTATCAATTTTCCTTCAGACCAGCCACCGGACATCCCAGATAGAAAACACACTGCTTTGTTTACTTTTCAAATAAATTAAAGCAATTAATGCTGCAATTAATGCTGGATTCAAAGTTGGGTCAGTTGGCAGTGTTTGGAGGGAGCAGGGATCCTATTGCCTGAAGATGAACATTGAGTTGATGTCGCTGGAAAAGGCCTGGGATTTCAATGTATCACTTGCATATTGTTTGCAGTTATATGACGGTTTCAGACAGATTGTGCTGTCTACACCTCAGAATAAACCAGCGAGGAGCATATGGAAGTTGACAGCTGGCAAGGGTTGCCCACACTGCACCAGGGTGGCCAAGCTGAGCTGAGTGAGAGCTGCAGGTTCCGGGCTCCTAACGCCATCCCTGTTCCTGTGTGGAAAGACTACACCCAAATTCAAAACCGTTAGTGCGGTACCAGTAACAGATCTCATGATCGAACCTGCATATCTGTGTGGGCACGTGATGCCCAGTGCCGCACTTCGTTCTTACAAAAGCCCTACATCCCCTCCAGCCATGAAGGCCCTCGCCTCTGTGTGGTTCTGAAATAGAACCAGAACCTCCCAGAGGAGAAGGTGTGGTGCTAGACTTTGGGCTTGCTCTCCATAGCTGGCCCTTGGTATGTCTTTAGCCCCTGACTTGAGTGACTTGCCAGCTCTATCCCTGCACTGAAACTCATGGTGGCTGGATTTGGGGCCGGGCACCCTGCTGCTGGTTGCGAAGGCTCCTGCTTGGGTGGACGGTGGGTGTGACTTTTGAATGTCTTTACAGAGGCCCAAGGAGGCCCAAGGAGGCCCAAGGAGGCCTGGGGCAGGGAGGGTCAGTGATTGCTTAATCCCACTGGCTGACCTACTTTGCCTCCTCCTCTTTGGGTGAGCTTACTGTCCCCAAAAGACCATGTTCCGCTTGCTGCCAGACTGAGTGAGTTCATCTGCAGGAAAGTCTCCGTCACCTCCGTGGCCATGAGCAATTGTGCTGGCCAGCGGGGATCGAGAGGGACGGAACAGCAGCTCCCTGTGCAGAGGGCAAGTCCGCAGACAGGCCTCACCAGGGCCAGCAGTGACTAAGGAAGATGAACTCACACAAATCCTGAGGTAGGAGGACCCTGAGTCGGGGAGGCTGGTTCAGGATGGTGCAGGGCATAGATACAGAGGGCCAAGCTGGGTAGTGGTTGAACCCAGTACCAAGGGCGAGCTCAGTGTGCCAGCCTGTCTGAGGCGGCATGGCGGCTGCAGTGGTGTCTTTGGTAGCCACAGCAACAAATACTCTAAAAGGAGACCCGATGGCCAGCAAGGTGTCTGGTCCCATTCTTTCTATACAGTTTAAAGACACAGCCTCCTTTTCCCCAGTTCTGAAGAAAAAAACTGAGAGAGTTTGAATGTGCACAGGGGGCACACAGCTGAAGTGGCCCGAGTTCCTTCTCTACGATAGGGAAGCAAAGAGTTCCTTCCAAGAACTTTCATTCCAATGCTCTGGGAGAAGATGAGCCAGCTCCTGAATGTCCATCCTGGCCCATCAGGTGACCTTGGCTAATTTTCTTATCCCCTCAAACCTCAGCTCCTGCCCCCACTGAGTTCTGGCAAGTAACAGCGTGTGTGTGCTATGGACCTCATTATGCTGGGCACAGAGCATGTGTTCTGAAATCTCAGCTGTAAAACCCAGGCCAGCCCTTCAGTGCCGCCTGACACCGTGGGCTCCGTGGCCAGCAAACAACACTCAGTCCTCGGGGCAGTTTGAACAAAAGTGACTTTCCAGCTGCCAGCAAGCTGGCACGAGCCAGGAGCCAGGGCCCTGGGAATGAGTCACGTAGGCTGGGCTCCCTCGTACATGACTGCTTCTTTCTGTCCACTCGGAGCATGTACAAGTCTGCTCTAGTTCACTTGATTCTGGAAAATTCATCAGTGTGACCCAGAGGAGGTCTCAGGATGCCTACCTGTCCGACTCTGCGGTTTCTCCAACTGCTCTTGACTGGAGAGTCCGTCCTCCCCGCAGTCCTGTCCACCCTTCCATGGCCACCACCACCTAGAACCTTCTTCTCCAGCCAGCTGGAGTCCAAAGTGAACTCTGGTCCAAGGCCACCCTCTTCCTCTTTCATGTGACCATATGTGGGTGGAGGATGGTGGTGGATTGCTCAGGTGCCCATTCTCTAAGGCACACCCGCCATGGATCGGCTTGACTGCTGGTGTTGCGGCCTCAGTGTGGGAGGAAGCACAGCACCCACCTCTGAGAGGTTCGAGTTTGGTGGTAATGATCCGCTTGTCAATAATGCAACGGGGTGGGCGGGGGAGTATGCCTAGAGAGGCCAAGAGTGAGGCAGAGGCAGAGAAAAGAGCTGTGGAGGGGCAGAGGAGGGGGATGGAGGGTGAGGGAGGAAAGGGAAAGGATGGAGGGGGGGAAAGAGGAGGGCAAGGAGAGGGAGGGGAGAGGGAGGAGCGAGGGAGGACAAAGGCTTTTAAGGAGGAAAAGCAGCTGTGCTAAGTGCATGCCTGGGTTCAGGGGTTAAAGAATAAACAGGGGTTCAAACTGCAAACAAAGATCTGCACATGGACCTTCCCAGGATGGGAGAGGGACTGTCAATCAGAGGGCCTTGCCTGCCATCACTAGTGTGAGTTCTGTCCTCGGTTATCATTACGATGCCTTAACCGTGTGAACTAGCCTCCTAGTGCACGCCTGACTCCTCGGGGCTGAGGGCAGGGCTTGGATCATGGAGTCCTGAGAGAGTGCCAAGGCCCTGGGTTCTCAGACCCAGGCAGAATCATCTGTAAGTACAGATGGCAGAATCCAACTCCTGTGCACGTGAGACCACAGCATGCCCATCTGCCTCTAGGCCAAACCCCCATCTTCATTCCCGTCCTGCTGCACCCCACACCCACATGGACTCTGGCCCAAGGAGAGATGTTTCCTTGCAGTGGATTTCTTGGTCTTGGCACTGTGAACATGTGGGGCTACTGTCTCTGAAGGAGGCATCCTGGACCACACATGATAAGCAGTAGCCTCCCTCAACTCTGCTAAGCCAATGCTGAAAGCACCCCACTTCCATCTGCTATAAGGCAGCACCCCCAGACATTACTACACACATCCTTGGGGCAAAACTGCCCTCTATTGGGGATCACTGATCTACATGGATCTCTGGGGTACAGGAGGGTCCTAGGCTGAACTTCTGCAGACCATGGGTATACACAGTATGCCCTGATCTTTAGTGGTCATCACTGTCAGCATTGTTCAGGGGGTCCAGACCCTTAGAGTCACAGCCTTGATCTGGAAAACCTCAGATGTTCTAGAAAGATCAGATATCACCTAGTTTTGACAGATGGCTGTGGAAGTCTCTGTGGCCACTACCTGGCAAGAGCCCCATCAAAAGGGCCAGTGAGATGGATTAGTGGGTAAGGGTACTTGCAGTCAAGACTGAGAATCTAAGTTCGATCCCTGGAGACCCACATTGTAGAAGGAGAGCACCTACTCCCACAGGTTGTCTCCTGACTTACACATGGCCTCATGGCATGCATGAGTGTGCGCAAATACGTATACATCATCAGTCAATCAATCAATCAATCAATCAGTCAATCGATTAATTGATCAATCATAAGCCCTGAGAATAGACAAGCAACAGGCAGGGCTACGCATTAGAGACTTTGGCTCTCCTGTTGTTTTCGATGTTGAATTCTTTCCCCTTTTCTTTCTCCAGCCCTTTGAACATAGAAACCCGTCATAAGCTCGGAGGTTCCACCAACTCTGGCCCCAGTTGTAGCCCATGTCTCCCCTTTCCCAGATGGGCCAGCCAGTTGCTCCAGAGGTAGAAGCCACATGTGGCATCCTGGGAAGCTTCCCTGTGTCCAGGTCCTACAGCTGTGACCTGCCATCCCCGGCCACTTTGGACCGTGCACCCTGACCCTAGGGTCACCCAGGTGGCCACTATGCTGTTGCAGTGGAAACTCTGACTTTCTCCCCACCAGGGAGGGATTAGTATGTAAGAAAGAGGAGGGGCTGACCTGACGGGAAACAGTTGGGTTAATTAGTGCCCAGGTTAATCCCGTTTGCTGAGACATACCATCCACTTGAGACAGCAGGGCCAGAAAGTCCGGCTTATCAGAGCCCCGCCACTCCACATATCTGGCAACAGGGAAGATAGTTCCATTGCAGGTCTGAGTGGGTGGGTCGGAAGGGGAGCAGGAGTTTCCCAGACACCCCCTCCCCACAGCTTCCCTATGCTTCCATAGCACACAAACCCTTCTGAACGTCCTTGCCCCCAAGGATCCTGCCCACCAGCGACCAGACACCCTATTTATAGCTTTGCTCATGCAAACTTTCTCCTCCAAATTGGTACTTGTAGAGTTTGGGGCAGAGAGAGATGGACTCCATCTGGGGTGCTGAGATTGAAACACAGTTAAGGTCCCAGCCTGCTCAGCAACAGCCCCATTTGTGGAAGAGGGTAGAGCCGATGGAGCCAGTTGTGCATGGCCAGTTGCAGGGAGGCCTATGAAGGTGGCCCATTGATTGAAAGCTAGGTCATCCCAGAAACCAGCACCAAGGCCAATGTCCTGACCAACCGTCCCCACCATGTGTCTTGCTGGAGAAGGCACAGGCTCTCCTCCAAAATGCTCGTTTTGCAAAAAGCACAACACATATATAGTCATATATACAGTCACACACACCCTGCAAATGTTCCAGGCATCTACTCTGGATTCTTCCACCTGTGTGGCCACACAGATGAGGACATGGTGCTCCTTGCCAAGGGTCCCCATCTATCTACGGATTTGGATGTGCTGTAAGACACCCTTCCTGTGTGTTAGACAGAGAGACATGGGGACATGGGAAAGGCACATTGACCCCACGGCAGGAAGTGTGCATTAACTGGGCCCCAAATGAGCAGTGCACCCCCAAGCTCACCTAGAAAGCACCTAGCAGTGCTGCCTTGCCCCCTGATGAGCTGGCACAGGCATCTGTCAGCCTCCAGGGGAGCCACTCTTGGCCCTCTGTCCAGCCCCAAGAAGGCCAGACCCAGGTCTGTTCTTCATAAAGCAGCTTTTCCTAATCCTGCTGAGCTCAGGGGCGGAAAGCCAGATGAGATAGTCTATCTCTCCAAGATGCCACGTCGCCCTCACGTGTGCGCGCATGCGCGCACGCACACATACACACACACACACACACACACACATACACACATCAGATGTGCTGCAGAAAGCCTGGTCACCCTGGTGCTCCCTCATCAGGGAGACACCCCAGAGAAACTGCAAGCCTGACAGGCGAGGGGAGGAGAGTGCGGATGCCATCTGAGAAAGCGTAGGACTCTGTCTCTGATACTAGTAAAAAGCATCAACACTGGAGTGTAGGGCTCGGAGTGAGTCATCCTCTCCACATGTCCCCACGTTCCCCCACACCTCTACACCCCTCCACACCACTCTACACCTCCAAGTCCCTCTGGGTCCCTGACTTTCCCTCCACATCTGTGTCCCTCCACATCCCTCCACATCCTCATACCCTCAAGTTCTTGCCTCTCTGACCCCGATCCAGCATGTGGCTGACCTCCCCCGGGCACTTTGCCAGGTGCCCTCAGGCACATTGGGGACTTCAGAGTGACGCTGCACAGCTGTAGGAATGTTGGGGATTCCAGAGTGGCACTGTACAGACCCTCCCATGAGGAGCCCACTATGTGGCCTGTGTGGTAGAGGAGAGACCGTGGGGACAAAAGCTGTGATCGCAGGGACACTGGGATTGAGTCCCACCTGCCCTAACCCCACCTGGCAGTGCAAAGCAGGGGATGTACTAGAAGGAACATCTACGGCCCAGGGCAGCTGGTAGGAGGGACACTTGTCCTTCTGTACTTCCTGCTGGGACATCTCTCCTTGCTCTTCAATCTTCCCTAGGAAGCCACACCATCCTTCCAAGACTAAGATAGGAACCATGTGAACAAGGTAGACCTGGCATCCACCTGCTCACCAACAAAAAGCCAGCAGGTGCCCCTTACTGACTGTGCTCTCTCTCTCTCTCTCTCTCTCTCTCTCTCTCTCTCAAGGCAAAAGCAGTCAAGGACGGTTCCAGCCCTGGCTGTCATGCTCCAGAGCAGATGGCTGATACATCAGGCAGAGGAGCCAGCGCCTGGCACTCCCTGAGTGGGAATCCACATGTCAGGCTAGCAGCAAACTCAGAAAGACCCAGAACAGGAGAGAGGAGCAGGAGGTGGCCAAGCTGTGGGGACATGGGGGACAGGGCTCCTCAGGCCAGGAGCTTGGCCTTTCAAGAGGACCTGTCGGGGCTTCTGAATCCAAGGACCAGGAACCAGGGATGAGCTCTCTGGTGGACATCGGAGTAGACAAGCAGGCCTTGAATGGACACAGGAACAGAACAATGGAAGGGATGAGTTGAGGATTTCACCCGCAGGGCAGAAGGAGCCTGGGGTCCTCCCAGGGCTGCATGACAGGTGTCTACAGCCACAGCAAGGACACTGAGTCACCCAGAGCAGGGGAGCTAGGGTCCTGGGCACTCAATGAGGCAGCTGAGAGATCCACTCAGTGGCACCTGGAGGGCTGGGCCAGGGTGGCTGACTGCACTCCCTGAGCTGCTGATGTGTAGGATGTTACCCGTGGCCTGTAGCTCCTGTCCTGAGGCAGAGGGGCTCTAGTCTTTCCAACCTTGTTTTGAAGAGCCAAGGTTTGTCCTGGCAGAATGCCCTCGAGGCCTTCCCAAAGAACAGTTTGAAGGGAAGTGAGCAGCCTCAGAGGGCCATGGATGGGGTTGCTGTGTGATACTTAGGTCCCTCCCACCTACAGAGGGGTCAGCTCCGTGTGGACAGTGGTGAGCTTCACCCAGCTGTGGCCGACCTTCCCTGGGCCTTCTTAGTGTTTACCCAGCTCCTGCATGGTATCCTTGGGCATGTTGGGGACTTCATGCCTGCCTTATGCACATGCCACATGCTTCCCGCCTCCCACAGGCTGTTCCACGCAAACCAAGGCCCAGATGCTTCTGCCCCATAGGACGAGGTAAAAGGATCGGCACTTTATAGTGATGCTTGGAGCAGCAGGACCAGGAGACGGTGGATCGACTCCCACAACACACACTCTGCCTGACTGATCCAGGACCTGGAGGGAGTCTCCCAAGACTGTCTCTTTGATATGCCCTTAACCCTCAACCCTCAGGCCTGCTCCACAGACTGCACCTCAAAATAAAGTGCAGCATACAGGCCTTTGCAGGCTGGAATACCTGGTCTTCGGTGTGGCACAGAACTGGGTGAGCTCAAGGCTAAGCAACCAGTGGGAGAAAGAGGTATGGGCAGATGACTGACAGAGACAGCCAAACAGCAGATTTTAATGAGCTATAATTCAAGAAACAGAAAAATAGAAAGAGGCAGACATTTGTCCAAGTGATACTTTAAGGGAAGGCAAAAAAAACCCCTGAGCCAAGATGGTTTTATGAGAGAGTTCCTCCCTAGGTTCCAGAAGGGCTCTTAGACCTCTGCTAGGCCAGGAGCTTTGGTTCCCAGGCCATGCACATAGCCTCAGGTCCCCAAATGAGTGACAAGTCTGTGGTTCATTGCACAGCTCAATCTAATCCTTACGCTGATTTAAAATGAAAACCCAAAAACTAACATAGGTTTGAGTCCCCCCAAGGGTCAGACAGGATTTGAACAACGTGAGTCTAATTATCATCACCCCTTTTACATAAGGGAAACAGCACAGAAAGATTGAGTTACACACTGAAGCTCACACAGCTTCTAGAGCAGTGTGCAAACTTGGAGCACTTGTACGGGAGCCTGTAGTCCAAACTTCTACAAAGCACCACCTCACTGCAACCAGCTTTGTGACTGAGAGTGGAAAAGGTGATGTATTGGTCTGCGTTCTCTAGAGGGACAGAATAGATCAAACAAATATGTACTAAAAGGGGGGGGGTGTTATTGGTTGGCTTACATGATACAGTCTGGTTGGTCCAATAGCACTGTCTTCACTCTGGAGAGGTGGAAAACTAGTAGCTGTTCAGTCCAATCTGGGTGCTGAAGGCCTGCTGGAGGCCTGCTAGAGAACAGTCTGAAGTCCATGTTGAAAGACCAAAGAAACTGGTCTCTGCTGTTGGTAAAGGATGGCAGCACTGGCGGCGGCAGCCACAGGGTGGATGAACTTACCAGCACGATGCAAAGCAAGCAGGCAGAAAGCAAAAACTGTTTCCTCCTACGTGCTACAGGATGGGTCTTCCCACCTCAGCTAATGTAATCAATGAGTCCCTCACAGGCCTGTCCAGAGATTAGTCTCCTATTTGATTCTACATCCTGTCAAATTGGTAATGTTAACTGACATGGTAGAAAAGCATTTCTCTTTTTTTTTTTCATTTTCATGTGCGTGCATACATGTATATGATATGTATTTGTACATGATTTTGCATGTGTGGGAGACTGCATGCACGTGTGCATGTGCATGCAGAGGCCAGAGGTTGAAGTTGGGAATCATCCCCCATCACTCTTCCTCCTTACTCACTGAGGCAGGGAATCTCACCCAAACCCAGAGCTCACTGATATATAGCACGTCTTGGGCAGCTCTGGGGATTCCCTGCATTTTACCTGCCAAGCCATCTCCCCAGCCCAGGAAAGCATTTCAGAGTGTGTTGTTGATGGTTAATACACCAGGACAAATAGGATTTGCTCCAGGGATGTGGGGAGGTTATTTTCATGAACTAAAAGTTTTTGTTTAATACTGGGTTGAGGGAGCTGGAGAGATGGCTCAGTGGTTAAGAGCACTGGCTGCTCTTGCAGAGGACGGGGGTTCAATTCCCAGCACCCACATGGTGGCTAACAACCATCCATAGCTCCAGTACCAGGGGATCCAATGCCTTCTTCTGACCTCCTCGGGCACTGCACGACACACTGTAATGTGTAATGTGGTACACTTACATACATACAGGCAATACACTCATACACATAAAATAAAAATGATAAATAAAAATATTTTAAAATACTGGGTTGATAAAAATGTGAACTATTAAATAATTGTCATGTGGCCTAGAAAACTACAGCAAAAGTCCATGCCAGCACCCCCCCCCCCCACCAAGTAGGGCTATCATCTTCGGTGTCCAGCCCCAACCCCACTCTCTCTCCCTCAGAGGTAACTCCACTCTCGGACCCTGTGTTACCCACAACCTCATCCTCTGCGCAGTTTAGCAACACATGCTCAAATTTGCAGCTGTGCACTGCTTCAGCAAGAGCACCCGGTCTGAGAAACGCATCATTGTCCCGACACCCCAGAGTGCACTGACACACTGTTGTGACAATCAAATGACCTGACACAGCCTCTGGGAAATCAAGAGCCACAGGACGCAGCTACTTGTACGGTGTGGCAGCCGTTTACATGGATGTCGGCTTTGTGAGTAAACAGAGGATGCTCAGCAATAAAAAGGTTCAAGCAGGCGGTGGAGTGGTGGGGGAGGGAGAACCCAAACGCAGCGCGTATGTGAAAAGGCTACATGGGGACCTATGATCTCGCAGCTCAATTCTGACGGTGAGTTTCTGTCAACTTGACACAAACCTAGACACGCCGGGGAAGAGGGAGCCTCAACTGAGGAGTGTCCTCCATCAGACTGGTCTGTGCAGCATTTTCCTGATTGCTAGTTGATGTCGGAGGGCCCAGCCCACTGTGGGCGGTACCATCCCTAGGCAGGTGGGCCTGGGCTGCATAAGAAAGGTAGCTGGACAAGCCAGGGGAGGCCAGCCAGTGACAGCACTCCTCCACCGTCTCTGCTTCAGCTCCTGCCTCCAGGTTCCTGCCTTGGCGTCCCTCCATGGTGGAGCCTAATTTGTGACCAAATAAACCCTTTCTTCCCCCAGTTTGGTTCTGGTTAGTGTTTTATCACAGCAACAGAAAGCAAAGTGGTATATCATGGAAAAAATATAGTAAGAGGGGATAGTAACATGTATGTAATATGAAAGAACAGAGGGGGCACTTCTGGGGGTTAAACGTTTAAGCAGGGATGGGGGCAGTAGGATGAGGAAAAAGAGGAGATGGGGCAGATAAAGTAAGGGTTATGAAGAGGTCGTATGAAAATCCATCACTTTGTAAGATACTTAAAACATAATGATTGAAAGTGTCACACAGTCTCTGAACCAGTGGTGTGGACACTTAGCATCTCTGTGCAGCACCATGTACCCTACATAGCAAAGCCTGCAGTGAGCTTGCTCTCAGGAGGGTCGCAACCCCAGGAGGAGTCTTTCAGCTGCTGGACAATCTCTGGAGACCACCCTCATTCATTCAGGGTGCTGCTGCCCCCGGTGTCCTTATGTAAGCTGTGGCTGACTAGGACCAGGCTCCCGCTCTGTGCATTTCTCTTCCTGCTTTTCTTACCCGGGGCTCTATTTCTGGTATCTGCTTGACATCGTTAAATGCAGCTTTGGAAAGCGGGGCGTGTGGGCGCACACCTTTAATCCCAGCACTCGGGAGGCAGAGGCAGGCGGATCTCTGTGAGTTCAAGGCCAGCCTGGTCTACATAGTGAGTTCCAGGCCAGCTGGGGCTACAGGGAGACCCTGTCTCAAAACGACTAAGTAAATAGATAAATACATAAACGAATAACTAAATGCAGCTTTGGTTCACTCTTCTTCACTCTTGAAGTGTGTTCTGAGTATACAGATTTTGCATCCAACAGCTGCTTGGGCTTGCTGCATTGCAGGGGGCACACCGGCTCAGCTTACACACGGATGTCCAGTTATCGTTCTCTGTGCATTTGAACCAATACAGACATTAAGCAGCAACAGCAAGTCTGTTTACTGTGATGGTCAGTGTTATTGTCAACTTGACAGAATCCAGAATCACCTGGGAGATGGGCCTCTGGCCAGACCTGTGGGGGACTGTCTTGATTGCATTCATGGAGGTGGGGAGACCCGCCCACTGAGGTGGGAAGGCTGGGATCCCAGAGAAAGGGAGAAGGGACCTGAACAGCGGTGTTCTCCTCTCTCTGCTTCCTGACAGCGGATGGGATGTGATCAGCTGCTCAAGCTCCTGCTGTCTGGCCTTCCCTGCCATGGCTCCTTGAACAGTGAGTCAAAATGAATCCTTTCTCCCTTAAGTTGCTTTTCTCTGGGTGTTTTATCACAGCAACGGAAACTAAGATTCTTGCCGATTCACAGCCCGAACAAATGGTGTTTTATAATTTTTCATTTTGTTGATTGTTGGATGTGGCTTATGTTACCTCCTTAGCAACAACAGTGGATGTCTTTGCCTATCTACTGATGCCTTTGTTTTCCAGTCCTTCAAATGCCACTTGAGGTCTGCTCAACATTTTTCTACGCATTTTCTCTTTTTGAGGTGTGTATACTTTGAATTTCAGGCACTAGTTTGATCATAATCTTTTTTTTGTTTTGAACTCAAGGACAATTGTATTAGACTTTAAATGGAAAAAAGTTGCAGGGTAGGGAAGCTGCATATTCTCGGCAGCTGCTAGGAAGAGAATGGAGGGCAGATGGAAAAAGCCACACCATTTGAGTTAGAGGTATGGAGGTCAGGCACATGATGGACAGGCAGCCTCATGATGGGGAGCGCACTTTAGAGAAAGAGCAAAGGAGCCCTAAGTACCGGGAAAAGTATGCTCAGGTTCTGACCAGCGTCCAAAAGAAAGAGACGGGAAGAAAGAAAACAGAAAATCACAGCTTTCTGAGCCAGGTCTTGGAAGTGTGGGCAGACCCAGCTGAATCTCACAGTGGTGGGCACGGTTCTTAGGAATTGCCCTTAATTCTTGGTTATATGTGCAACAGATACAGTTTTGTTGCTGGAGGGGCTCTTTCCACTCTGGGTCTGTGTCCTGGTTTGTTTCTTCACTGCTGTGACAAAACACTCTGACCAGTACCAACTTGGGGAGGAAAGGGTTTATTTGTCTTACATCTCCCAGGTCACATGCAGTTCATCCGGGAGCCCAAGGTAGGAACTCAGGGCAGGAACATGGAAGCAGGAGCTGGAGCACAGGCCATGGAGGAATGCTGCTTACTGGCTTGCTCCCCTGGCCCCTGCTCAGCCTGCTTTCTTATGCAACACAGGCCCACCTGCCCAGGGGTGGCACCACCCACAGTGGGCTGGGCCCTCCCACATCACTCATCAAGAAGATGCCCTTCAGACATGGCCACAGGCCAGGCCAATGGAGGCAGTTCCCCAATTGAGGCTCCCTCAACTCAGGTGTGTCAAGTTGACACTAAAGCTATCCAGCACAGTCTGCTTGATATACAAAAATTCATAATTTCAGTGCAAATGGGACATTCACCCTTCCCCAACAGTGTTTCCAACTTCTGTCTGATTTAAAGAGTTCTTCCCTGATCCTGAAGTGTGGTTTTTGTATAGTCAGGGGATGATCTATGATAACTGTACTTTCAGCTCCAAATGAGTGAGTTTATTAAGTACACAGCAAGCATAAGTAAGAAGAAAAAATAGCCAGTAGCAAAGAGAAAAAGGAAGACGGCAAAACACCATCAAACCGGGACTTAGCGCATCGTGCAGAATAGGCTAAAAAGATGCGGTCACTGTGCGTTCCTGACTGAGAGCATCTCCACAGCTGGGCTTCTGGCTTCTGGTTCCCACTGTAGACACTTCAATGCCATGGATAAACAATAGAAACCTCTGTTGAAAACAGCTTACCTTGTAGCTGTTCTCAAGGACATGATGGTTTTACTAGCCTTAGTTGTTTACTGTTTTCCCTGTCCCTGTTACAGAACCAGGGGGCTAAACTTACTCAGGACAGGGGGTTTGGAGGACACTTGGCATAAACAAGCTTGAGTCTGAGACATGGGAGGGCTCCTCGCTCCAAGATTCCAATTTCAATAAACTTAAATAGCACATGACAATCTGCCACTATAAAGTATATTGCAGTGTGTTGTCCTAAAATTTTTCAAGTAAGTTCTTTAACCAACTTGTAACAAACATTTGTTTGTCACCCAGGTTCCTTAGTCCTCGATACAAGTATTAATAAAAATGTAAATGTTTTCAAGCTGCACACACACATTTGAGAGTTTGACTGAAATTTCCTGCTCAGTTGATGTATGAATAGGAGACTCGGCTTCCAACATGAGAAATTTCTCTAAAAATTTAGAATTTTACAAAGCCTCTTAGTAAAGGTTATAATTCTGTCCACGAAAGGCCTTGTACGTATTTTATTACATTTCATTCCAAATATTTTATATCTTAAGTGTGGTAAATGGTTACTTGTAGTAACCATTAGTAATACATCTTTGTCTGTTTTTTGAGACACACTCTCACTGTGTATGCCTGGCTGGCCTGGAACTCAAAGAGATCTTCCTGCCTCTGCCTCCCTGGTGCTGGGATTAAAGGGATATGCCATGATGCCTGGCTTTAAAATGCATTTAAAATATTTATTTATTTATTTGTGTGCATATGCGTTGCTGGCATGAATTTACGTGCACCGTGTGCATGCAGGAATACACAGAGGCCAGAAGAGAGTGTCAGATCATTTGGAACTAGAGTTGTAGACCATCATGAGCTGCCTTGTGGGTGCTGGAAACTGAACCCAGGGCCTCTGGAAGAGCAGTAAGAGATCTTAATGGCTGAGCCATCTCTCCCGCCTCCAGTAATTCATTTTTATTAAAGCATAACTAGATAGTTTGATGGAACACAAGAATCAGCAATGTCTCCTGCGAAGCGCTTGGTCCCCGTGCATCCACACCTTAGTTTCTTTTCTGCTGCTGTGATTAAGGGAGAAATTATTTATTTTAGCTCAGCGTTCAAGACACAGTCAATCACATCAGGGAAGTCGAGGCAGTAGAAGTTTGAAGCAGCTGGTCGCGCTACACCTACAGTCAGAAGAGAACAATGAACGCACGTCTGTTAGTGTCCAGCTCCCTCTCTCCATTTTATACAGTCCAGGACCAGTTGTCTAGGGAATGATACCACTCACACGGGGCAGGTCTTTCCGCCTCCATTAATGTAATTAAGATAATCCCCCAACGGTCTGCTGAGAGATGTGTTCTGTAAAGTTATCAGCTAACACCATCATAACCCACAGGCCTGGATACACACAGTCAACAGAGACTTCTAGTTTCTCTAAGAAAGTAAATTCTGGCTTCCACTCCTGATGGTAAAATCGGGAGATTGGCTTTATTCTGGTGTTTTTCAGATTGTCTCTCTTTTTTTTTCTTTTTTTTTTTTTTTTTTTTTGGTCTTTTTGAGACAGGGTCTCCCTGTAGCCCCAGCTGTCCTGGATTCACCATGGAGACCAGGCTGGCCTCGAACTCACAGAGATCTGTCTGCCCCTGCATCCCAAGTGCTGGGATTAAAAGCGTGTGCCACCACACCCAGCCAGATTGTCTCTTAGTCTCCGAGATTCTGTTATTTCCCTCACATCTCTAGTACAGTGTGGTTTTCACTGATTCT